TGTACAAGATTGTTCCTGACAGTCGCCATGCCATTGCTGAATTCATCTTGATCCAATCGATATCGAATTGGCGGAACTTCATCTTTCCCACGGGCCTCTCCTTGAGAACTAGCTCCTAGTTCTGCCTCCATAATCCCGGCAAAGACTTGATTGTCGTCTTCATCAAAACCAGGTTGCCGGATCCGAGCGTTGTGCAAACGTCTATCCACGGCGACACTGACTCTATCTTTTCGAACAGCCGTAATGTAACCGATTGCCAGGGCAAAGTGACCCTCTTCATCAGACACGACCACTGGCTCTCCAGTACTGAGCTCTGATTCAAGGAAGGAAAAGCCAGCCGCATGCTCCCTTTTGATAAAGGTGTAGTGGAACCTATTGATGCGCGGGATATCGGCATCGATGGATGCAGACCCTGGCTCGATGATAACATCGGAGAAGCAACGCGACTTTTTCTCCCGTTCTGCGCTCGTCATCGTCCAGAGCTCTCGTTTCATTTTCTGGCTCTCTTTCTCCTCTTTAGTGATGAGATTGTCCCATTTGATAAAGAATTCTTGGTGCCGTGTCGAGAGATGTTTCACCACTTCGTCGAATTTTTGATCCATACCGCTAGTCTTGCCGTCTCCATCGTCTGCTAATCGATGGTAAATAAAGCAAGACGTTTTAGCATAGCAGTTTCCACACATCCGCTTGTTCTTCAACATTGTTGGAAGCTGGATGCTTCGCTCTCGAATATGACACGCAAGTTCGTTGCGTTGCATCACCATATGGCGTAGCTCGTGGGCAATTGCAGGAATCCGGAGTGTTTTTGATGTTTCCATATAATAAAGAATACCACAAGCGATATCGATGTCGTAACGATCCGAGAGCAACATTGTATAGAGTGACGTTTGGATCATGTGGTTTGAGTTGGAGTTCCTGCCTGTCTTGAGCTCAAAGGGAACTGTCAGGGTTCGCTGTTTCGGTCCGTCCTGGATTTTCACTTCAACGGTAGCATCAATGTTGCCTTTAAGCCCGTACATTGGAGACCAAACATGTTCTTCAACATCGAGGAGCTTGGTCAGCGCCATTTGCGCTTTGCCTCCACGACGGTCCTCGACAAGAGCATCAACCTAAACTTGATTAGTATGCGATAGTCATGACAAATCCAGATGAACCTACATTGGGTTGGGACGACACAAAACTCGATGCCCAAGATGCGAGCCCAGCCATCTTGGACTCCAGATGTTCTCGTGCTACTGCCATGCTAACTTTGATCGTATACAAGTCTTCCACATGCTTCTCCATGACAGATTCGATGGTTTTTGAGAGAAAGCCTCGGCTCCATTGGTTTGCCATCAGAGCTTGCTGAAAGATTTCGTGAAGTAGGGTGCCATAAACCAAGGGTGGAGATGGTTCGCTGGTTGCCTTGACTCTGTCCTGGAGAACAGCACGTCTCATGCAACCATACGAGTCCGCAACAACCGTGGAAGAAATAAGCTGGTCAGGGTGTAAAACAAGAAGGTTCTGGCGGTCATCGATAATGCATTGACCCTTTTCTGAGAACTGTCCAATTATGTGGACATAGGCTTCGGCATGAACAGGCGTGTCATACCAGCTACCTCGCAAAAGCACGGTCCGATATATCTTCGAATTTTCCGCCTTGATTAGCAGAACCTAATAGATGTTAGCATTGCCATATATCAAATAAACAGAAAATACTGCAAACCTTCTCGATCTGGGTGGTTCCGCTGTCATCGACGAACTCCCCATCTAAAGCTTTCGTCACTAAATATCGCTGGATAGTCTTGGATTTTCCACCGGTCTACCTTCACTTAGCGTTGGCTACTTGTTAGATCCTTTCCGACGTACTGGTGTTATGAGTCCACGAGATGGGTTCTTTGGTTGTGTGCTTTGATTGACAGACTGGGTGGCTGCCAGTTCGATCGCATCGAAATCAAGATCATCGTCCAGGTCTCCGAACTCTTCGTCGTCAAATTCTTCAATCTTTGCGTTTGCTCTTGGCGCAACGCTCGCGGGCCTTTGTGATACAAGTGCCTTATGATCGCTTTGCGGGTTTTTCTGTGACAAGGCCGGAACAAGATTTGCGGCCTCTTCGAATACATCGTCATCTAAATCGCCAAACTCGTCGGTTACATCGGTTACATCGGTTCCACTGATGGTGATTTCTGGAGCCTTGTCTGCTTTCAAAGCTTGGGTGGCAGTTAATGTAGCTTCCAGCTCCAAAAACGTGTCTTCGTCAAAGTCGTCGTCGCCATAGTCCGAGGCATCTTCCGTCTCAAAGTTACCCTGTTTCGATCGGGAGGGTGACATGTCTTGCCTAGCAGATGCTGGCCTTTTTGATGGAGATGGCGAGTCCGGTACCTGGCGCTCGTTGTCTGGTGAGCTGTGGTCCTGCATACTCCCAGAGACCGTGTCCAACAAGGCTGACACCATGGAATATTTCGAAGCCGCTTCCATTTCTCGTTGTTCGTCGCCAGCGACGTTAAATGATCTAGAATTCTCAACTTTCCTCCTCTTCGGGCACTGCAGGCCGTGGCTCATGGACCGTCGTAAGCTACCTTCGCCTCGCCGGGTTCCATTAGATGGTCGTGGAGAGGATGATATCATCAGCTGCGCCAGCGTAGGGTTCATAGCTCCGATCGCAGAGGTGCTTGGGCTCTCGCTTTTGTTCAGCGAATACCTATCCCAAAGTTCCAATGTCGGGTCCGCGTGGGGAGACTTCAGGGCTTCCTTGAGCTTCTTGACGTTCACAGCCGGTGTCTTATCGAAAGATGGCGATGAAATCGGCGATGAGCTTCTAGCACGTTTTCTCCGTCGTGACATTGGTGATGGTTTCTTGGCGCTCTCCAGTCGATTATCCCACATCAATCGATCATTTGGGGAAGTGTCTGCTTCTTCTTCTGGCGAGCCGGTGGGATTCACGAAATCTTTCCAGCTGAGCCGGGGCTTGGGTGTGACGTAGCTCCCATTTCCAGTCCCTTCGGAAGGCAACTGCCTATCAACTGGAGAGTCCGTTCTACCAGCACTGCTCACATCTTCCTTCTCCGACTGGTAGATGAATTTATTTAGCTTTTTCTTGGTCGTGTCCGATATGGGTTGAAGAGGCCTAGAGCTGGGCGTTTGAGGGTTAGACGGGTTGCTTCGAGATCGTTGCCATGTCGAGCGCTGCTGTGAATAGTGTCAGTCAAATAACAAAGTCAACAAATGCCACCGATCAAGAGACTTACTCTGGAGTATCCAAGATGCTCAGAATAAGACTTCTGAAGAGGCATTATAAGCACCAAAAAGCCCAAAAATTCCAGGTGCCTCTCAACATCTGGAGAAACACAGGACGATGTTCAATGGCAAGTTTGAAAGTGCTGCTACTACCAGGTGGGCATTAACAGTGAAGACTAGCAACCGCGCCGGCGCGTAAAGAGTGACCCTTGACGCGACCTCGGCCCCACTAATAACGCGCGATCCCAGCAGCCATTTAAACAAAGGTACGTACCGGGAATGTGACGTCTCGGGACGCTCGGACACGTGATACTTGCATTATCGATAAAGCTGTCGATGATGGCATCAATGGTGAACTAGATACACCTCAAGTGCCTATAGCTTGGGAACTTGTTAGCAAGTCTCTCTGCCTATCGATCTCAGACTGAGCGCCGGCGAATTTCTGAAACTACGTCTCCCAATGGATGACCCAAACAATGACAGCCGCAGCAGCGGCCATCAGGGCGACGATGGCTCCCGCCGCAACCTGATCTACGCAGAGAGGTTCAAGGAGCGGCTGGAGTCCATCTCCAAAGAGGCGCAGATTCTCGCCGAAATCACCAAGCCGTACCGCGAAGAAGCCCACCAGCAGATCAACCGCGCGATCCCCGAAGGCAATTGGCCTGCCTACATGGCGATCAGCGGCGTCACGCGGGACAAGATCATTGCCCATGGTGAGGGGCTAATCTCGGCCCTCGCAGCCACCAACAACACCAGCCTCGAGGATTCGCAGGTGCAGGCCGTGGCGGACAGCCTGATGGCCAATGCTCGCACAACATCCATGAGCCAGTGGGGCATGTTCTCCGGGACGCTTTACATGGCCTACCGGAACCGCCACGCAATGCCCCTCCGTCTTGCAAATTCCAAGAGTCGCTTGTTCAAGTACGTCTGGCCCGGCGTGCTGTTCCTCGTCTATTCTATCCCTGTTTCGCTATTCCTTTCTCCAATCGTGACGGCTGGAGGTGCCAGATACCACGCGGGGAATTTCAGAAATGACCCCAGGCTGAGCAGCCTTTCGCTTAACTTGAGCGAAAACCTTCAGCAGCGCTTGCAGAGCGCACAAGCACAAGGGCAAGTGCCCAACCAAAGATACGGCGAGAGGAGTCAAGATAAGTCAGACACGCCGTCGCAGGGATATGAAGGAATTCGGCAACCGGCAGCCCCTGGTTGGATGGTAGCTAAGAATATTCAATCACCACCACCCAACCCTCCGACCAGTGGTTGGGGAGTATCAGACGATGAGGATGACGATGCTTCACCTATTGCTTCATCGGCTCGACGATCCTCACCTAATTCCGGTCTTTCGAAATGGGAACAATTACGAATCCAATCAGGGTCTCAACAACGCCCAACTCCTTCGCGACCACCTCAGGCGAGTAATAGCTGGGGCTCCACTCAATCATCAGACTCGGGGGATGACGATGGGGCAAAGTCACAAGCACAACAAGAGTTCGATGCGCTCTTAGAGAAGGAGAGGCAAGGCACTGGAGAAGGGCAAGCGTGGGGCAGGAAATAAGATACAAGTAAAAGAAAAAAGAAAAAAGGAAAGCTATTCCAGTGTAGTCATTATTTCATTGGCGCAACCGCGCGACCTTGTATTAACATCGTTCAATATCCTACTCTTCACGCAGAAGTTCAATTCCGAAGTTTATTAATTAAACACAACAAACTTCGGTAGAATACAAACAAACCAATCAACCAATCACCCAAGCCATCACTGATTCATTCCTGTGTTTTTTTTTCTCTCAAGGCTTGACTTCATCCTTGACAGTCAATGGCTCAACCTCGCTTCCCTCGGCTGTTTTATCTACGGTTGCCTCCAAAATACTCTCACCGGCTGTGTTTGCGGCGAGAGTCTTGGTCTCGACCTCCGCGGTATCAACCTTCTTGATTTCAGTTTCCTCGTCAGGTTTTTCCTTGCTCTCGTCCTTTACCAGTTCAGGTTCGGGGGCCGGCAAAGTATCTGATTTGGTTTCTAACTTGACCGGTACTTCTGTAGTAATGTCGTCACTTGCAGATATGCTTTGAGGCTTGTCCGCTTCTTCACCTTTGACGTGAACGTCTCCCACATCGGGGCTGATGGACCACACACCTATCGATGAGGATATGCTCAGTGTCGGTGGTGGGGCAGTCTTAGTCTCAGTAGCAATGCTTGTTGCTGGAGCAGGGCTCTTAGCAGGAGCGCGACGCTGCGGACCACGTGCTCGACCCTTTCGAGCATCAGACAGCGGTGCCTTCTCCTTCTCCTCGGCCGCCTCTGAGGCATCTGGGGCAGGCGGCTCTTCCTTCTTTGGTGCCTGTGGACCAAGCTGGAGACGTTTGTTCAGGTCGCTCATGAATCCGGCCTGTAGTGCAGCAATCTTTCCGCCCGCGGGTCTACTTGGTACAGGAGGCTTGGCTTTCGGGGCCTCACCATCCTTCGAGTCTCCAGAGAGGCCCTTTGAAGGCCGAACAGGAATCTGAGGCTTCGGCTTCTCCGATACTGCAGGCCGCTGCTTTTCATCACTAGGGGTTTGCTTTGGCTTGGGTCTGCTCGGGATTGCTGGGCGTTCGGAAGAATCTGGGGATTTTCTTGCAGGGCGAGCTGGCACTGCAGGAGTAGCTTCTTCAGTTTTTGAATCCTCGTCTAGGTTCGAATCCTCTTGCTTTAGCTCATCCTGGGGAGACTCAATGGTAGCCTCATACACATGACTCTCTGGAACATCCTCCCAAATATCTCGACTTGGGAATCGATGACCAGCACTTGGTCTCTCTGGTTTCACCTCTGATCTAAGATGGGCAAGATGAGGGCCCCAAGGGGACTGCTTCTGTTCGGGCGAGGGTAAGAACGTAGGTGAGAGGCCTTTTGCTCGGCCGCCCTCTGCCTCTTGCTCTGCCAATTGTTCTTGCTTGAGGGCAAAGGCATGTGCGGGGGTCAAGGGTCGGTCCTGGCGAGATCCTGAAGACCTTGAACGATCATTCTCGGGCTCGGGTACGTCTGGAGTTGATACAGTCGCCGTGTAGTGGGCACTGTTGGGTGCGTCTTCCCAAACGTCCTTGCTGGGAAACGGACGATGGGTCTTGGAATCGTCGGCCCGCTCCGTCTTCTTGCGCTCATCTTCTTTGCCTTCAGGGAAAAGGGGCTCGTACTCCTCAACGTCATCAAGAGGCGTGGTTCGAATCTCTGGCTGGGTTTCTTGATGCATGCTTACAGGCCGACTTGTGGGACGGCTTGGTGCATCGTCCATCTCAAAGGCGCTTCCCACGCGCGCTGGCGGGGGGTGCACAGCAGGCTTTTGATAATACACTTTCGAATCCGAAGCTACTTCATCAGCAGCCAAAATGGGAGCTTGGTACTCCTCCGTGTCGACAATTGCATTCTCATCGGCACTAGGATGGCGATATTCGGGGTGCGAGGGATCGTCCACGTGGATCGCCCCGTCGTCAGTATCCTTCCCTCCCTCGGGAAGAACAATCTCAGGGCGAGTTGAGGTAGATGAGCCAGACTTTCCATTTTCTGCGCTTGAGGTAGGGCGCGGTGTAGCAATGCGATTGGCATATTCCTCGCTTGCCTGGAAACCAACTTCGTCAGTGGGAGTGCTGCGATACTCCGAAGAAGTTCCTACAGCCTGTTAGCCTACCACGCCGCACTTCTTGACCAAGACATTGCTCGCGTACCAACTCCAGCTCCACGGCTGGCTGTCTCCCTCACCAACTTGTTCAGTTCAGCGCTAGTCATTTTGTAGTTATTTTGCGGATCATGAATTGGTGTATATTCGTCCCTCTTGAGTGCGTCTGGGTTCTTCTCATAGTAGGCCTTTTGGAGCTTGTCCTGAGGCCCCGCGCCATGGCCGTGAAGGCCGTAGCTTCCAGGGGGCAGACCACGAGAGCTATGCTTGCGCTGATGCCCCTTGCTAGGGGCATCGGTATCAGGGAACGAAGGCGCCTGGACGTCACCAAGATGTGGATTCATGGGCACGCGTTTGCCAATCTCGGGGATGCCCTGCTCTTCCTCAAGCGGGGTTTCATTGTCGCTGCCGGTCGACAAGCTAGTGCTAGGCTTCTTCTTGATCCCATCGCGGGATGCAGCACGGCCAATTCCAAAAGAGGCCGCCCTATCAGAGTCGGTGCGCGTGACAACCTGGACTCGCTGCTTGGCGCTATCGGCAGGTAGAGAAGGCTTGGGGGCATGTAGATGCAAGTCCTCGGCGACAGTGCTAGTGTGTTCAGGGGAAGCAATTCCTTGATTCGACTGCTCCTCGGCCTGTTGCCGGACTTCTTCTTGCACAGCACTATATTCAAGACCCTCTTCGCCTACAGAGGGCATTGGGACGCTCCCAGCTCGATCGATGGGGTCCTCGACCGGCTCATGTATGCTATATGTCGGGGTCAGAAGAGCGGGCTCATTCTTGGAAAAGTTGCCCTCGTGGAACGGTGAGGGGGCAAACCGCTCGGGGTTAGGGGAGACGGCTCGTTCGAGTTGCTTCCTTCCGGGTCGAGGAGGAACCTTGGGCATTGAGGCACTGGAGCTGTCCTTGTCCGGGGATTTCCTCGAGGGGCGAGGGGGCACTATAGGCGCTGGTTGTACTGTGGCGGTCATGATTAAAAGCTAGTGGTTGTCGAAGTAAAGGAAATATAATTCTATTGAAGAAGAGAAGATGTTAGAATTGCAGAGTTTCAAGATTGAGATCAACGGTATAAGATAGTGGGCTGTCGAGATGAAGTGAAAGTGTTGCGCGCGTTACGTCAGACCAGGAAGGAAGCACGGGGCAACGGAGTGTAGCGGCAGCAAGGGGTGGGTGTGTCACAGGAAGCCAATTCAGCCACGCGCGATGGCTATCAGTGAAGAGATAGCCAATTCGGCCTCTCTGACTGGTAGCCGCTAGATAGCTCGCCCCTTGCCTCCGGGAACCTGATTTGCAAATCAGAAACACCAAGGTGTGCCGGAAGATCGGTGAAGCTTCCTACCGCTCAATTCCAATTCATCCGCCGATAGGCGTTATCTGCAGCTAAGCGATAAGCACCACCAGCCCTGCATCTTGCAGAGAGAGTGCTTCCCTGGATTCCAAACCACTGGGCGTGCTGATGATAAGGAGACCGCACGGAGGGTGTGTGGTCATGGCATTGGTCACAGGTACTTACAGGAATAATAACGTAGTAGAGGCGGGCGCGATTGCAAGCCAGATAGCACTTCACCGGAGCAGCAAAGGGGGACTGGGCATTGAATTGGAGTAACACAGAACCAAAAGGGGGGGGGAGGTTACGGTGTGAGCTTCCAGCAGCTGGACAAGGGCTCTATTAATACTTCCATGCCAGCGTCAGAAGCACACAAGGTGCAATTACGCCAGTTTGGGCAGCTTCTGGTTCCTAGAATTCTGCCTCTCAGGTGACGCTTGGAACCACCGTCACCAGCTACTAAGAGAACCAAGGACAATTGATAAGGTACGTACAGTGTCCGGTCCGGTCCAGTCTGGTACCTTTCCAGTCCCAGTCCAACAGGGGTCGGTCAGCATCGAGCTCCCACAGTGCAGATCGAGGTCCATTGCTTCACTGTGCATGGCTACTCTATCAATTTTTCCAACTGCAAACGTCCCCCTATTCGTACTCTCGGGGGTCGAAAGCATGTCGTATCTTCTCGCTCTTTCTTGTGCTATCTTCTAGGGCTCACTCAGTTGCCCCGAGAGCAATTTCCCTCGGCTCCAGAGCGTGAAATAACAGCATTCCCAAGGTAGAGTTCTCATCGGCCCAACGCAGAGACCCTTAGCTTGGGTCTAGATAAGCTGACCATCAGGGGCCCAAGTATTGGCTTAGCCGAGCTGAGTCCCCGAAGCGCCCGTGACCATACAGTGTGGGAAGATTCTGTCCCCCGCATACGGTAGGTCACGACCCACCAACCGGTCCTGATTCTGGCCCGCCGGTGTGTCGAGCAGAACCATGAATCGCCAGCTTTTCTGTCACAATCCTGCGTGCTCAGACATGGTTTGTATCAGATGCGAGCTGCAACGCCAATGCGCTGAGCACACGTTGTTGGTAATAGCAAGTAATAATTGGCCAGCTCGCAAGGATGACGGTCTGTTGGCAGTTGAAAATGCTGGTCTGGCAACGCCGCCGAGGTAATAACGAGCAGGCACCTCGTCAAAGCTTGACCGTATGTACAACCTAAGGACGTCGGTGCCCACTCAGCCGTCATCGATCTTGAGGCCGCTGCAACGCCTCTGCATATTTGCTTCCGTGGCGTCTACTTGGCCAGGCGGTCGTGGCAAAGAAATCCCTCCACCACTAGAGAAAACTTGTAAATGCGCAACAATCGAGATCAGGAAGCCCAGAGTGAGAGCATAATGCTCCAGAGCGGATGACCGGGTCCAACTTGTGATAGAGCCCTTTGGCCCATGGTAGCTTCAACATGCTCAGCCAGAACCACAGTAGCTTCCCTTTCGACGTCCCATTTGAAATGGAATGCTGCACCCAGATGACGTGACACATTGTGGGTTTTCCCCAGTTCTTCAGCTGATCGACTAGGCCGCCGCCTTGTTGAAGCACCTACATACATACGCACAAGGGGCATGCATTGCAGGAACGAGTGAGACGCGAGCCTTTGAACCGGTGCTATTATTATCATGCCAATGCCTGTCTGCATAATAGCCTATAGTCGCGTCACTTGGGAAAGGCAGCTCATTGGCATCAGTTTCACATGCTCAATGCTTCCCCAGACGTTTTGCCTGCATGCCAGAGTAACTCTGTCGGACCTTTGGTCTTCATGCATGTTGCATCGATTTGGGATATGTGCGGGGACATCTCTACCTAGTTGGTGGGGTTGCGGAAGTCTGAGGCCATCACGAGACCTACTATTCTTTCTAGGAAGAAATAGCATGGGAAGGCACACTGTTCTCCATGCTGCCACTTTAGTCAATGCAGGTAAGCTCAGATAGAATGCTGCTATTCGTACCACATCTATATACGTGCCAACCACACCTGGAGAGGAGGAAGAGTGCTAGCGTCAGTTCGAAGCCATCCATCCACTTGTCAACGGTCCACCTGCCAATATATATTGGATTTCGTATGTACTACAAAGAGGCTTCGGTCGTACTGCGCCCACGAATCATTTCACAAGCTTCAAATATCGCTAAGCTGAAAATAAAATGCCAGTAAATTTCAATTACAACAGCCTCCCTAAGAGTCATCCCAGACGCCATTCCCAGCCTTACAAGAGGCCGATTCTCTAATCGAAGGATTGTGAGACATCATACTACGTGAAAAGGTAAAAGTGAAGTAAGAAGAAAGGGGGGAAGAAATAAAACCAAGAAGAAGAAAAAGAAAAAGAAAAAAAAAAGAAAGGGGCTGCGACCAGGTCCGCCATACTGTCCAACTCTCGTTTCATTTTGTCACGGACGAATCACGTTCTCCAGTCATCAATTCGTCTCGTTCTTTCAAGCGCCATAACGGTCATGTTTTGACCCTCCTCCACATGTGCCCATGCTGCTGGCTAGTGAGGACCGTAGCATTACACAATCATCTCAGCAACTCCCTGGCCACCCAGGGTCTTGCTGCCAACGAAGGCCTGGCCCTTGATTGCTGCCAGGAGATAGAACAAGGCGGTGATGGCGAGGAAAACGGCGGGAGCAATGAGAGCATCGGCGCCGTCAATAAGGGTCAACCACTGAATAACGGACATGACAGCGTATACGGCGGCGCGCATATAGTTGGTCGAGACCTTGCGGATCATAGCATCGAACTTTGCGGAAGTTGGGCAAATTCGGAGCAAAAGGGGCACTTCGACGAATAAAATGATTAATGATGACGCGCTGCACCAGTGAGTCAGTGGAAATGGTCGACAAGGGGTGCAATCCCAGGAGAGAAGTCGTCTCTTACATCGCGAAGGCAGCAAGAATCAGAGACAAAGGCTTAGCGAGACTGGTAATAATACACGTGATACCAGTCGCCATGCAAAGAATCATGGACAGAATACCGAACCTAGGAATCGAAGTCAGTCGGAGCTACCTGGGATATTCTCAACCACTGTTCCCCCAAAAGCCGATGAGCAAGCCACCAGATGCTGGGCAAGTTCATGCTCGCTATGCGGCCGGGAGCTCCAGGAGGTCGAGGGGTACGGTACGCGTCGGATGCAGCTTACCATTGTCCATAAATGCCTACAGCCAATGTCAGTCAAATGTTCGTCCAGGGATAGCGAGGCTCGAATGGAAGCTTCTTACTGAAGTTTCTCGTTTGGAATTCCTCCTTGAGCGTCATGTTGGGCTACCGTCCAAAAGCTTCGGAGCTAAGTATTGATTATGTAGTGGGCGGAGGAGCGCAGGAACAGATCCCGGATGAGAAGGACGGCGCAATCGAAGACGGATCGGGTGCAGCAAAAGACGTATGTTGCAAGTTGGTTTGGATCAGTACGTCGTGAGCGGAGTGATTTTCTAAGTGTGTCCGTGGAACGATGTTTGTAGATGTCGAACGTCGCGGAAGGACAGGTTTCCGTGGTCGTTGGGGAATGATGTATGTACGTAGCCTTCTCCCTCTGAGTGGTGAGACGTCTCCGTTTTTCAGAGGCTGGGTGCTTGGCTCTGGTTCTAGTACGAGGTCGCTGATTGGTTCTTACACTAGCAGCCCCGCCAAATACCCCCCAAGATTGGCACTGAAAGCAAAGGAATCCCGACACCCGTCGCTAACAGCTTTGACAAGGGGTCTTCTTCTCGCTAGTCAGCGGTTCAGGTTGGCTAGTGACTGTTATTAATACTGCCTGTGACGGGGGATCCAATTCAACTCTAGTCAGACAAGGACTCCGATCCGTGTGCGTGTGAGCAGATTGTCGGGCATATTACAGCGCACAGATATGCTGCTACAAATAGGTAGAAGGGCATGGATGATACGAGCCTCCTTCCAGAGGCACCCGGGTGGATAAGGTAGGTAGCTCATTACTATTACACTGGTGCCTGCCCCCGCTTGTAGTAGCCCGGTAGCTCGCAGCTACCGAGAACGAGGTAGACGCTGGGCGCATCTGGGGCGCAGCTACCGGTTACGTCTCAAGATGCGGTCCGGTGACAGGGCCGCGTAACTCCTTCCACGTCAGAACACACCCAGACAGTAGGTAATACTACAAGTTGACGGCAGATGGTTATATCGCCAGGCGTTTCCGAGTATTGTATGTTCTTGTTGGTAGGTAGCTTCACAGGCAGCATCGCAGATACCTTGATACATAGCCATGGAGCCAGCTGCATTGTTTTGCCTCGAAGCTATTGCTGCACTAGTAGAAGTATAGATGCCACGCAAGAGCTAGCGGTCGATGATTGCCAGAGGGTATGCATACCTAGCCATGTAGTTGACAACAACGACAAGCAAGGGACTACAATGACAGACGATTTTTTTACAATTAACCACGCTCATTCGAAGTGAGGGTTGTGCTTCATACGTATCGACCAAAAATCTCACCACAGCAGCCGGCGGCTATGTCTGCAGCGATCGGCATCTGCCGTCAGCTAAGGTTTTGAGGTTATCACTACCTACTAGGATAGGAAAGCTACAGCTTCAAGGACGATGAATGAATGCATCATAGTCACGTGATCTACCACTCAAGTATGATCCAGAACCAAGCGAATG